CATCGGCATTACTTGTTGCTGCTGCTGTACTGGCTGCCCTGGAGCTGCCGGCATCGTCTGAGGCACTGGTGCCGGCTGGTATGGTGGCAATGGGGCAGGCGGCTGAGGCAACGGATCAGCACGCTGCTGCAGCTGCTCTCTCGCTCGCATCCGTAGGTCTTCGAGCCGCGCTGGTGCACGCCGCAATTGCTGCTGAGACTGCCGATCGTGCAAGTCCTCAAGCTCCATTGCGCCGCCGTGGAGTCGCCCTGCGAAGTCCGCCCCGAGCTCTGATCGGAACAGCTCGCTCTCGTGAGCGCCACGCATGCGCTCGTCTTCGTCCATGCGTGCTTGGGATGCTTCTATCTTCTGCATTCGCAAGTCCATGCCCGTGAGCATCTTGAGGACCCTCTCCAGTGCGTCAGGCTCCGGGCTCCTTGCGTGAGCGGTAGGAGAGACGACCGTAGCAGGCGCGGCCGCGGCCCTTTCGTGACCGGTTGCCGGCGGCGCCTGTGCCGCGTTGGTGTCGTCGTTTGCTTCCCGTCTTGGGCTCATAACCTGTTCGCTTGCCATGATGCAAGCTGTAGAGAGGAAGTCGGCGTCACTGTGATAAAAGGATTCTGACATTGTTATTAGTGTTATCTTTTTCGTGCTAGCATGATGGACTAGTTGTTCTTGTTCTCCATCACTCTTGTCCAATCAATCGCCCATCCACGCACCTGTCCAATCAATCGCTCAACTGATCCTCGAACGCCTTCCTAAGTCGTCAGCCGTTTCCTCAACTGTAACTTCAACCGTGCCTTTTTCTAACATGTTCTCTTGTGCACTTCGTGCGTTAGTTTTTTATCCCCAGGGTCCAAAGGTCTTTAATGCTCGCCTTGAGGCCTTCATGCGTTATGAGGCAACGCTACTCGGGCAGGCTCACCACCAGGGAGGTCAGCTGCGCCAACGCAATACATCCCGGTGCATGTGCCCGATTCAGAGCCAAAGGCTCGGCCACTCGTTCTAAACGTGAAAACCTTTGAGGGGAAGGAGGAACAAATCTTCTCCTCTGGATCCGAGAAGTTAAAAAATGGCAATGGATGCCGCCATGCTTGTGTCAGATAAGCAACGAGCTGGCTTGGCCATTTCTAAGTTCGGTGGAAGAGCTAAAGAGTGAGCTCTAACGAGCGATGTCTCTGTAGATGCCGCATTTTTTCACATGGAAAATGCTTAAAAAGCAATTAACTTGTGTGTTTGCACCGCCTAATCAGGCTTATCGTGTGCGCTCACGCTTCTTAGCTACCCGACAGGGTAAGAAAGAATTGTTGGACTATGTCCAAGAGTTAAGAACTCTCATTGCTGCTATGCAGCAGGACCCTCTGGCAGAAGAAGTCCGAGTAACCAATTTTATGGAAGGACTTAGTACTGGGGTAGCCAACATAGAAGTTTTCCGTGTCCATCCTTCGACCTTCGAAGGAGCAGTGAGCATAGTGTTTAACGCTGAGTACTCTTTCAAATCTGCTCGTTATGGGCTGCCATGGTATAATTCAAATGCCTCTAATAGGGCCTATCCCATGGACCTCAGCCATGCTGAAGAGAAAGAAGCTGAGCTTCAAGCTGCACATCAGCAAAGTAAAATTCGTAGCTGTTACATGTGCGGAAGCACTAGGCACCTCCGCCCCCTCTGTCCGTTGCTAAAGCAACGTCAGAATCGGCACATCCGTAACCCTTATCCTATCCAAAAGGCGAGCACAAAACGTCAGCTCCCAGTAGGCGCGGGGCACCCTACTAGGAAAGAACTAAGTTCTGTTGAATCTTTAGGAGGTAAAGGTAAACAAGGCTTAGCCCCAGGTGGTTCTGTGGATGCTTTCATGGAACAGGAATACAAGCCAGGTTTGTTGGTTGTGTCGGCAACCGTAAGGGGATTGAGAAACCATGGCCAATTCTGATTGACTCATGGGCTGACAGGAAGTCAAGCGCCACAAGAACCGGCACAGAGCCATGGACCTGGTGCTTTTGGAAGGAGTGCGTTGTCTAATACAGCAACGACGCCTTCTTCCAGGTTAAAGATCGCGGTGAATCGAACAACGAGCATCAGACGTATTAAGACGATCAAGGGCACATCGAAACGAGTGACCCTTGGATCAGTCTCGGTCCAAGAGGATGGACCTACGAACGAGTTGTTCGAGGCCGTCGAAGACAAAATGCCGGAGGCATCCTCAGTTGAGGTGCTCCAAGTTGTCTTGGCATCTGCTGAGGAGATATTAAATCTCTCGGAGATGACGTGGGATCTGCTTCTGTCCGAATTAAAGGAAGGAAAGATCCACGAGATAGTCGCACCAGTTTTAGAAGAGAACGTGTTGGACTGTTGCTCGTCGTCCACAATAGACGTGAGTGTTTTGGAGATCGAAAAGAAGAAACGGTTTGCTGCTCAAGGCTGAGATACCTTGAAGGACAGCGCCGTTCTATGATGTTCTGTGGAAACACCGTGATGTGTTTCCAGCAGAAGTGCCGAGCCGCCTACCGGCCGATAGGGGCATCAGGTACGAGATTGACCTGGAACCTGGCACCAAGTATCGTGTGACCGGGCAATGGCCGTTGCCGAAGTAACAAGTCGATTACATCGATGAGTTCATCGACAAGCGAGCTAAGGCGGGACATGTACGTGAGAGCAAGTCGCCTCACTGCATCCCGACCTTCTGTGTGCGTAAAGCAACAGGTGGATGGCGCGTGGTTTATGATTACAATAAGCTGAACACGGCCACCATTCCAGCTCAAACGCCGATCCCGCGGAAAGATGTCTTGTTGAATTCCATGGGAAAATCAACTATCTTTTCCGCGTTGGATCTGGAGGATGGCTACTATCAGGTTCTCATGAGAGATACCGATGTAGCCAAAACGGCAGTAAGCACCCCAAGCGGTATGCTATGGGAGTGGCTTGTGATGCCACAAGGGTTGAAAAATGCTCCGGCAACATTCAACCGAGTGGTGGCTCACGTGATGCGTCAGCACCGTGCCTACGCGCCCCATTACTTTGACGATGTATTCGTGCATAGTAGGGCGGAGGACGGTCTGAGCGCAATAGAGTTGCACAAGCGTCATTTAGACGCTGTGTTGCAGACTCTGGGAGACGCCCAATTATACGTAAACTTACAAAAGTGCGTAATAGGGTTCCCCGAGATACCTGTGCTGGTCTGCATCGTAGGTACACATGGTGTACGAGCAGACCCAGCAAAGGTTAAGGCTGTAAAGGAATGGCCAGTCCCACGACACGTGAAAGATCTGCGACAATTCCTGGGGCTCGTTAATTACTTGCGTAAGTACAGCAAGAATTATACGGAGCGGACTAAGCCATTGACAGATCTTTAGAAAAAGAATGCAGAATGGACTTGTTTAAAGGAGCAAGTAGATGCGCTCTCATTAGTAAAGCATCGGTCTTGGCATTTCACCGGTGTTGGCATTGCCAGACGCGGCTAAGCTCTTTAGCGTCGTCTACGATGCAAGCAAATTTGCAATCTGCAGCGCGCTGACGACACACACACAAACACGGTCAAGCGATAGCCAAATGACGCTTTAAGACATCGAGGTCGACCCTCAAATGTATGGAGCCGCCTTACACCCAGGGGCGCAGCAAGGTCCATCGCAACATCTGACCAGATTGCAGCTTATCCGTGATCACCAGGATCGTTTTCGACTGGATCAGTCACTAGGATGCCCCTGGAGCCGACTGGGGCGGTGCTTCTCCAGACCCGAGAGCGCAACGCGAAGCAAGAACCACGAGCTCTTGAAGCGGCGACGCGTAGCAAGAGTAAAAATCATTCCGACTTTCAGCCAATGGAAAATCAGCAAGAGAAAAAATGGTATTTGCTCTACCTTGTGGCGAAGATGCTAGAGGGGAGCGCTTACTTACCAGGCAGAAGATTTACAGACCCTCTTCGACGCGGCGATGGCAAGCTTTTTGAATGAATGTCAAGTACCGCGGGCACATCTTAACGGGAGTGTATCGGGAGGAAGACCAGTGGCGCAAAGGATGACCGCTCATCATGACCAGAACTCAAGCATACAAATGCTAAGAGGTCATACGATGACCGACGTCGACATGGAATCCGTCGGTCTTGTGAGTACGACCCTGGCAACATGAATTTGAAAGGGACCTCAGTTGATGATGGAGAACGCCGCGCTGGGACAGATACCAAATATGGTCCCTCGCATCAAAGTTTCAGCGACCTGTGATCTCAGAGAATTTCATGGAAGAGACCAAGACGAAGACAGAGCGCGCAGATGGGTATCGACGGTCAAGACAGCATTTATAAGATACCAATTGGCAGATGAAGAAAGATGTCTTGTTTCTGGAGGTTTTTGGTGACTGGGCCAGCACAGAACTGGTACCCATAATTGGGTCGCTCAGTCCGAGGAAACTGGAAAAATCTAGTGCAAGAATTCATGATTTGGTTTTGTGGTCTTAGGGCTGGACCTGCCAGGTTTCTTTTAGTATCTAAATTTTCTTATGTACAGTACACATAACCCGATAAGTTACCCTTTGTTAAGTTATGGATATTGTCGTCCACCATACCCATAACTTTACGGAGGGAGCTCTGTATGTGCATTTTTTTTTAATATTGGGGGACCACCCTCAAGACCTTTTTAAAATTAATGATCGATAGTGGACAAGTCATGTAAAAGAATGGAAAAATCTATCAGCGTAGAGTTCGCCGGGTTACCGTCGGAGAGATGGGCACACACCCTTGCCGCGCCGACTTCGCGCAGCGTGGCTTTGAAACGACGTAAGATTTACCCACTAAATAAACGATTGCCGTAGACTTCGCGTACTAAATTTGTAGAATTGATGAGTAAACACCCTAACAAATTGATGCGTTCAAGATGCCTCTATATACTACTTCGCACCGTCTGAACGAAGGGTGAACACCCTAGTATGATTAAACAGAATAAAGAATTCGAGTAAAGTTGCTGTATTCCTAACTTGTCCATGTTAATTTGTCACAAATGCCGTTTCTTAAAGCAACATAACATTCTTGCCCATGTTGACACCTTCCTCTGCTGAGACTCTTAAGCAGCATGTATGGGCTGGTCGTATCCCCGTTGTCTTCTGTCTTGACCCAAAAGAAGTAACTACACTTCATGCTCCTCGTCCATTCTACGTAAGTCAATACATTTTCTGTAAACCTATGGAGCTATTCCATTCAAAACTTAACCTTTACATATTCCAGGCGATGTTGCCTCGTATGAGCTATTTAGTGTCCCAAACACGTGACGTTGTTGAATATTTTCGTGATGTTGCTCCTCCTGTATCCATGATGCAAGGCACCTCCATCTGGTTTGAGGCTAATGAGGTCCCATTGCATTGGCATCTGCCTTTTGGACTTCTCCGTGACCTTTTGTGTGGTCCTGCAGCACTGGATCTACCTTGGGCTCTGACGGTTCATTTCTTAGGTTTTCCTAGTGATGTGCTTCTTCCTTGTGGCAACGAGCAGAGTGTCGAGTCACACTTTATGCATAGTCTCAAGCAGGCTACGTTCTTAAGAATGGGGTCTACAAAAGCTGTCATGAGCTTGCCTGAAGCCAAGCAGACACGCATCTGGACTAGCATTTCGCAGAGTAAGAGGAAGCTATTAGCTGTGAAATAGATTTATGTTTAACTGGTTGTTGTTGCTTGGTTTTGTGTGGCAGATGATTATGAAAGCTATCGAGAAGCTACACATGACCTGCATTTGGATGGAGGAGTGGACGCTTCTGCGTTGCGCCAGCTCCCACTACGAGTACATTTTCAGAACGAACCCGCGATTCAAATGCCCATTGCACCACTGGAGAATGGTGTGGTCATGTTGCTTAGTGGTGGATAATGTGTTGCTAACAACAAATGTATTGCTAACAAATTGCTGGTTATATGAATGTCACCTTCAGGTCGTGAAAAACTGTTGCTGGAAGTGCTTCACTATTTACTACCCGATCTGTTTCCAGACGCTATCTCAGAATCACAACCACAAGAGTTTCAGCTCGTCGTACATGGCGTCGTGGTCCCGTTAAAAGTATCAATCGTCGAGCTCTACCGGCACTTTTCCTACGCCGACGGATTCCTCTACATTGCCGTGCTCTTCAATTCTTAATGCACTTCACTTCTCCTTTGTATGTCTAAAGAAAGCGATCTATCACATAGATGAATCAATCACACCAAGCAATCAACTTATAAGGCTAATCATCCAGTACTTGAAGTATATGTAGCCATTATTCTGTTGTACCCATGTTGTAGTCCTTATTCTAAATCGCAGGTCATTTCCATTCTCTTCATAAGGATTTGTTCAGGAATTCGTCATTCTCAGAAAAGTGACATATTCCATCAATAATGGAGCTACCGAGTCCTCCTCCGACCCATTTAACGTCGAATCTCGAGTCTCTACTAGCTGAAACACGTGCGCATTTGCTTCATAAAGAACCTGATCGTGCTCGTGCCAGTTTTCTTCGTCTTCCCGATCTCGAATCACGTCGTAAATCGTATTTAGAAGCGACCTTACGAGATTTTTATGCTGCTGGATTATTTGAGATTCCCGTGGTATTGACGTTCTTAGAAGCATTGCCCAGTTGGCATTGGACATTGGATGGCTGTGCAGTGCTGTATAACGTGAGTTCGGCTTTAAGAGCATCCAGTACCGGCGTCGAAGGCGGTGGAAACGCTCTAAGAGCACTTGAAGCTCGTCAACTCAAATATCCACTATTGCCATTGGCCTTTTTCCTGTTAAAAGTGATGAGCCATTTGGAAGACAGTGCTCGTGTACGAGCAGAGAGTTATTGGTATGCATGGGTAAGTCCGACACTACGTGCTGTAGCTAGTGGACAACCTGTAGAGCTCAAGATTTTGTCAAGAACAGGACGAAGTGAATATCAACAAGGAAATCCAAACAAAGAAGAATTATTGTATGCTCCTGGTAATGCTGGTACATTTGATAATGATCGGCGTCATGTTTTGTGTTGGGTGGGAGAAGAGGAAGAGAATGAAGGACCAATTTGGCCGGAAGAAAAAGATCGAACCAAAGCCCAATGGCGATTGATTCCCTCGGATGTCAATTGTGATACATTTTTGATCCAAAGTGTCTTGTTTGAAGAATATATGTATGCTGCTGATTACGCAAAATTTAAAAAAGATAAAAGAGGCAAAACAAGAAGTCGAGTGTTTACGTGGAGAAAAACAAAAGAAGCTCCTGGACCAGCGGGAAAGTGGCAACTTGTGGCGTTGACTGGCAACGAAAGAGATGTGTTTGCATTGTATAATCCATACCAGCGTGAGTTTTTGTATGCACCGACAGCAGATTTAATGGACAGTAAAAGACGTCATGTATTGACGCGAGTAGCGCCAGATGGAGCTCGTGAAGCATCCAGCACAGAAGGTGGGCCGATGTGGTGTGCTTGGCGTATTACGCCAGCACAACAATCTTCGATGGAAAAAGGAGTGGAAGCGTTTTTCGCCAAGCAGTATCCTTTAGCAGTCGAGCAACTCACTCTAGCAGCCAATGATTTGCCGGACAATACAGAACACGTTAAGTGTTTTGCCTACCGGATGACGGCAAATTTACGTCTTCGAAGATTTGACTTGGTGGCTACCGATTTTCAGGCGATTCAAGCACTTGGTGGTGATAAAGCTGCAATCTTTCACGGCCTTGCACATTTATGGGAGGAGAACGCAAGCTATCTCGCGGCCATGGCAAACTCGTCGTCCGACCTTCAAGTTCAGGCAATTGAGATCTCGACGTCGACTCAAAATCCGTTCTTCATGCGCCACCAGCTTTCTAAAGGTGATGATTTCTTTGTTCGCCGCGATTTTCAGGCCGCAATTATGTGTTACCAAGAAGCTGCAACGTGCAGCCCGAGCATTGTTTCGTCGTCATCCGAAGGAAATAGTCTGGAGGATGCTGAGACGACACGCCAGCGAGTTCGTGCCTATGTATCATGCGCAAAATGCTTTTTCGCGCTGGATGAAACCGAAAATGCGTGGCAATACTTGAATATAGCCCATGATATTGCTGGTGTGTCTGTCGAGGGTGAGGCTGCTATTCTGCTCTGGAAAGGTAAGTGTCGTCGAGCCCATAAAGCTTACGATGAAGCTTTGCAATTGCTCGAACGAGCTTTTGACCGTGCGAGTGCGGCATCAGCAGCTTCTGCGTGCATGTCATTGTCAACAGCTGGTACACCTATGACTGCTGCAGCATTAAAGCGGTCCATTCTTATGGAAATGAAGGTGGTGGGGCTTTTGCGCCAAGGAGTTTACGATACTTTGCTTTCTGTCAACGAGGATGAACAAGTCATTGAGTCAAATGGTGCTCATGGTGCTCATGAAGAGGACGGTTTAAGAACCAGTAAAGACGCCGAGAAGACGCTGACGGAAATGATGGAGATGTTTCATTGCCCATTGAGCTTGGAGCTGATGAACGATCCAGTCACAACACCAGACGGCAACACATATGAACGCTCTATGATCGAGCAGCACCTTGAAGTCAATGGATGCTTTGATCCCTTGACGCGTGCTCCACTGACCAAGTCACAGCTCCATACAAATCGTGCACTGAAGCAGCTTATGGAGACGCTACTGAGCGATCATCGCTTAGGATTGCTCCTTGCGTCGTGTTCGACCTAAAAAACATCTTCGAACGAAAGAAATTGTCGTAAACTGCGTAAAGGTATTTAAAAGACGTGGTGAACAACATTTTGAAAATGTTATTTTTGTTGTAGAATGTGACAACATGACTTCATATTTGTGTAAAATATACCCAGAAAGGTAAGAAATTGGGTCAATCTGCATGGATATGAGGACATTGTATAAATACTCCAGCTCCCGATTCGCATTCTATATTAGCCCATTTCTATACTAATTTTACCCAGTATGGCGCTATTTGAGTCAAAATCAGATTCTTTCATTAGTATACTCCCCTTCTACCTTTTCCCTTAAACACATGCTTATCCGTTATCAAAGGGTTATCAAAATGCGCCCGTTTTTTCTCAATTATCATTTCCGCATCTTCTTCATCCCGTCCGGATGAATATGTCCCGAACCCCCTTAACCTCTGCCAAGGTCGTAACTCGCTCATATCTTCGTATTGCTTCATTGCCTCACATTACCGAGATCATCAGTAGTTTCTTGGATCATTCCGTTCATTGGTCATTACCCAATGCCTGTGGTTTTGCCTATTCTGACGGTGCCTTACGACTCGTGCAACGAATTGCTCTTCATCAAGCATATTGTGTCAAGAATGCAGAATTAATTGTGTCAAAACGTCAAATATCATCGTACACGAAAGGACCTGTAAGTGAAGCTGAGGTGTCCTTAATTCTGTGTCAAAAATTGGATCCTTATTATCGTCAAAAACAATTCACACTTGGCATGGCTCGAGCTGCAGCGCGAGGAGATTTAAAAGTCATGCAATGGCTTGTTCATCAATTTCCAGGCTGTTATGTAACTGTTGCAGTTGAAGAAGCCGCCAAATATGGTCATCTAGATGTTTTACAATGGCTACATCGGAACAGTCTCATTCATCATCAAGCAGGTGGAAAAAAAGAACTTTTTGTGACGGTTTTTTGGGGTGCAAAAGAATTATTTTATGCAGGACAAAATGGACATTTGCATGTTGTTGAATGGTTACAAGACCATACAAACCCAACACCAACGCACATGTTTTTTGTGACATTAGAAGAAGCGGCCAAAAATGGGGATCTACTTTTGGTGAAATGGCTTTGTACTATAAGAGGAGAATGGTCACCTTATGCAGCTGTCTTAGCAGCAAGTGGAGGACATTTAGAGGTGTTAAAATGGTTGAGAGGAAATGTGTTTAGCCTCGTCGCCTTCGGCCTCAATGGATGATGCAGCTGCAAATGGACACTTAGAGGTATTGAAATGGCTACAGATGAATGCAGGATATGCCACATCAATGGCCATGAATAAAGCAGCAGGTAATGGACATCTAAAAATTGTCGAGTGGTTGCAAAAAAACCGACGAGAGGGATGTACGACAGCAGCAATGGACTTGGCTGCTGCTAATGGACATTTGGAAATTGTAAAGTGGCTTCATGTGCAACGACGGGAAGGATGCACAAAGGCTGCGATAGATGAGGCAGCAACAAATGGACACCTTGCTGTTGTCAAGTGGTTACATGCAAGTCGAAAAGAAGGTTGCTCTACGCGTGCAATGGATGGAGCTGCTATGAACGGACATTTGGCAGTGGTAGAGTGGATGCATCGAAATCGCAAAGAGGGATGTACAACAGCAGCGATGGACGGTGCAGCACGTGCAAACCATCTTAAAGTTGTGCAATGGCTGCATGACAACCGAAACGAGGGGTGTACTCTTGCAGCTATGAATCTGGCGGCTCGCAACGGGCATTTGGACGTCATTCGGTGGCTCCATAAGCATCGTAAGGAGGGATGTACGAATGACGCAATGGACCAAGCAGCAGCTCAAGGTCATTTGCGCGTAATCCAGTGGCTTCATAGTTATCGAAAGGAAGGTTGTACTCGCAATGCAATGGATCGTGCTGCTAGCGCGGGCCATCTTGATATTGTGCAGTGGCTTCACAAGAACCGACCAGAGGGCTGCACAACAGCGGCGATGGATAATGCTGCAGGCAGTGGTCACCTGAAGATTGTGCAATGGTTAAATGAGAACCGAGCTGAGGGATGCACAGGGGCAGCGATGGACCGAGCTGCTTTGAATGGCCACTTTGAGGTCTTACTGTTTTTGCAAAACGAGCGATCGGAAGGGTGCACGTCCAAAGCGTTTGTGAATGCAACGTCTGCGGACGAGCTGGAGATTTTGCAATGGCTTTTCGAGCACTACCGCGACCGGATTGGGCATGATCGTCTTCAGCTTTTTGCATTAGGTAAGTTTTACACGCTCCAGTGGTTAAAACAGGAATCGGTTCTTGAAGATTTACCCGAGAGCGAGCGCCATTATGAATAATTGTGTCTTGAGTAGTTAGTGAGTAGTCTATTTATTAGTTATGAAATTTGTATCAAAGGGACAGAGTTGAACACCTTGTAATGGTGAGAGTAAAACGCCCGTTACAATGAATTTGTTGTATGCAATGAAGTACGTAGAGCTGATACATATCATCTTGTGTCACAAGATGACGACGTTTTACGCTGGTATCCGTCTCATCCATTCAATAGCTGCGTTTGGATAATAAGAGTATCTAAGAATCCTTTCTAGATCCACTTGTATGAGTTCAAATTTGCTAGTCGAATACTTCGTACGTCGAGAAATACTTACATTGTATGTAAGGTGGAGAGCACAGACCGTAGACTACTAAGATGTCTGGTTGTGTGGTAAGTCATGATGCAATCTACGGACGCCTCGCTTTCTCATTCTATTAGCTCAAGACTTCAGGCTTCACGGCGGGGCACTCCAATACGAGTTCGTAAATCAGTTCTTTGACCAAGTCCGGAATGTGCATTGTGTAAACTCTAAACCGGATGGCTGGGCTTCTCTCGCTCTCGCAGCAACCTGCTTTAGGGGACAACAGACGCTTGACTAGGAGTCCTATTACCACTGCGGTAGTCCCAGCGAGCCAATCCCAGGCCTTCCCCTCGTAGTTAACTTGCTCTGCTCTATAGGTCGGATTGAGGGCAATTCCCTTCGTGGGACCGGACTCAAGCTCGGCGAGCGGGTTGGCGATGCGTAAGTAGACTGAAAGGGTAGAAACTAATCGATGTGTAGGGTGTATCAATCCATTGTCGACGTGCCCCGGCATCTCAAATATTTTGCAGACCACTTCTCATCTGCAATGCCTCCTGTACCGCACGCAGCGAGAACTCCCCTTTACCTTGGTCCCACGATAAGGAACTTCTCGCCCAAAGTAAGGTGGATTATTTTTAGCTTTCTAGATGGTCTCGTCTCCGTCCGTTGTCGCCTTTAGCTATCGATTGGGAAGTGATATATCACTTCTTGACAAAAATTGCAATTTTTTATGGTACAATCGTTAAGTTGATCATGAGACATTGCTGGAATCGCAGTTTTGTTATCTAGCTTGTCGATTAGTCACAGTGATAATGAGGTAAAGATTGGTTGGAGTACGTCTAATCCGGACTAAGGCTTGATACAACTTGTAACGAAAGAGAACCTATTTTTACCTTCTATTAATTTGGAATGTTGATTTAGATCCGAAGCCTGATTAGCTATGCCGGTTCCTCATTCGAGTCGAGCGGATGTATGGGGCAGGTCACCTTCGGTGAACGGCTCTGGCTTTAGCACGTTGACATAACATCAGACGAACACTCCTTGAATATTCGTGTCGATGGTACGTTTGTGCGACATATTCGCGCACCCGAGAAAATTGTAGCTTTGTAGGACGGAGTGCGACATCTTACACATCCTCCAGCTCACTTTCGTGCGTAAAGCACATCGCACGATCGGGGTCCGTGCTTGGGTAAACTTTGGTTGTTCAGATCGTCTATTTACATGGTGTTAACTATGTGCAAGATCTCTGGAAAGTCCTGAGCCAGGATGTCAACGCCGGTTGGCCCGACTGTAAATCATGGCTGGTCACCGTTGAAAGCGGTGGCCCTCTAGGTTCGCGCTCGAGCAACTCGATGCATGCATATAGCAAAGCACCCGTTGTGGCGGACGCAACTTTTTGATGCTCTCTCTTCGCGATCGCTCGGAGCTGACAAAGGCACGAAGCCCAAAAACTGGCTATGCTGCTGGGAAGGTGGAGCGGGACTGCCTTGTAGACAGCGGCATTTCTGTCGACCCATAGCCGTGTGTGACATATCGTTGCCAAGACGTGCCAAATTCGCGTCCAGACACGTTCGGCTGCATCCGTGTCATCCTGAAATCGGTCCGCTAGACTTTGCATACGGTGCTCGGGTATGCTGTGAACCCTTCGGCTTGCACAGGCCACCACAAAGTGTTTGGTCGCTTGGCGGGTAACTTGTTGCCCAGTCCAGTGACCAATAAGTTTGCCCCATAGCGCTGCAGCGCAGGCACAGTCCCAAAACAGATGACCAATGGTCTCCTCACTGCCGCTGCAGGCCGGTGCCTTTCTGCAACTATTATTTTCGTACCTCGTAGCGTGATACAGATTTAATTGTCTGGTCGCCACCCTGTACCCTGTCCAGACTTGATACGGTGTGAGTCCATTACTATGATCCCACACTTGCCTCGGCGTTTGCCGGAGCGCTGCGCATTGCCATTCATCCGTCGTTGCAGATTTGGACAGTCGATCAATGAGAACGGAAAGTTGGCGAGCGAGAACCTTTTTATGGAACCGGAAAGCTTGCTTGCCTAAGGCCTTTGTAACGAAGTGATTAGACGTTGTGGTCGGCACAGACCAAGGAAACCGATGCAGCTGCGGGTGCGCTTCGAATACCAGACCCCAAGTTCTAATCTCACGACAGACCGCCTGGCGTTCCGATGGCGAACCGACAGTGAGCTCCGGCAGGAAGCCGTGACAAAACCAGTGTAACCCATCATCAGCTTGGTGCAGAGTGACAGGCCGAGTTTGGCCGTGCTTGATATCCGTCGAGTGACCTTCGATAAGGCCTGCTCCGAGAAGCTTCCAGCGAAAACTGCGGAGACATGGTGGTGCCTGTCGTAGGCGTAGTGGCGGTGCCGCGTGCAACTCTGACCCGATAGGTAAGTCCGG